ATTTGGCAACCGGTAAGAAAGAGAATAGCAATTTAAGATAATTAAGGCGAGAAGTTAGTTTAATAGCCGAATAGCTGAGTTAATAAATAAATAAATATAGATATTAACATGCATGACATTGATTGTCTGACAGATGATATACTGGAATAGACGTGGTTTTAATAAATAGGCTAACTATTTATTTATTTTTATATTTTTTAACCAAACGATGAAAATTTATTTTAGTGTTGTTTCATGTAAATGTAAATTAAGTTAAGTGACGATCCAACAATTAATTTAAAACATTCAAGTTTCCTGTATAAGTCATTTATATTCTTCAGGTTTGTTTTAACCTGTTCTTATCTGCCCGTGAGTGTTCCTTGTGTTTAGTGAGTGAGATGTTGAAGCGATGGCACGTCCACTGTGGCGAGGAGGAGGATGCCAGACAGATGACAACATTTTCAGGATTACAAATTGCTTTGTGACGGTGAACTCCTGATAAGCAGAGGGCAAACGATCACAATTACTTGCCCTACTTCACCTGAACTGACTCTGTGTGAACCTTCACCTACATTACTCAGTTATTAAGTCAGTAAAACGGGAAGTTGCTGCATTAATGTGTCGGATGCTAGTTTCCTAAACCCAAATCTGCACCAGTCACAAGTTTCAGGCGTGAAACGGCTACACAGGCGCAACTGTGAATGTTTTCAACTTTACAGAAGTACCAGAAAATTGTGTGTAAAAACGATCTTAGCAAACACTGTTTATGTCATTCAGTGAAATCCCCGACCTTTGGACTACATCAGTCGTCATGACGTCTCCTACAGTCTATAAGACCCGGAGCAGTCGCTCAGTCCTCAGCACAGCAGCTGAGAGTCAGTCCACAACCTCAGACAGCACAACAGGTGAAGATCTCTTTCTTTATTCTTATGCTGATATTTAAACCTCTTTCATTGTTAATGTTATTTACTGGATTAAATAGGCTACTTTATCTTTAGTAAAGCTTATAGTAGAAGAAAGAAAGGAATCTCTGTTTGCTATGACAGTTTGACTGATCTTTTGCAGATTTTCTGCTAACTAAAGTGGCATGGCTTCTATGGACATTGTGAATAACCAGGTTTGTTATATATTATCTATATACACAGTATATATATGTTTGTTGGTTTGAATGTCAGTTAATCTGTTCATTCCTGTCTGTTCCTTTCTAGAATGTGGTTGAACGCATAGTTCACCTTCCCTTGGTTATATCCACCTATGACTTGGTGTCAAATGTGTACTGCAACACCAAGAACAACCATCCGTACTTGAAGTCTGTGTGTGAGGTGGCTGAGAATGGTGTGAAATCCATAACCTCAGCTGCTTTTCACAGTGCTTTACCAATCATTGGCAAGCTAGAGCCTCAGAGTAAGTTGAATGTTGTTTGCAGGTTAAGATCGGGGCTGATTTTAGTGTGAATATGTATTTACTTAATGTTTCTGTCTCTCTGTAGTCTCTATGGCAAATGACCTGGCATGCAAAGGACTGGATAAGATAGAAAGGACCCTGCCGATCCTACACAAGCCATCTGATCAGGTATTATGTAATATTTGCCTAAATGTTAAAGTCGGCATGAAACGGAAGTTGCAATCATCTTTTCTTCCCTACTGTGATGTATATTCAAGTGGGACTTGATTTTGTTTATCAGGAATTGATTGGATAATTTTCATTGGCTTTTGCCGAGATCTCAAGTGAGTGGTTGTCAAAAATCTGCTATAAAGCAGCTGTAGCAAGACAATAGTGTCTATATTCAGCTCCTGTCAGTTCAGTTCGGTTCAATAACTGTGTAAAGTTCATTTATTATGAAACAAGTTCAATTCAGCGATTAGCAGCTCAACTGAAGACAGTAGTGTCCGGAGTTCAGCTTGAGTCAGTTCAATGTTGA